AAAATTATTGAGGTTCAATAAAATTGTGACATAAAGCATTAAAGGCAAGAGTGCACCACTTGAGGATTGGGAATCATTAAATGTGTCACATGTTTGTATAAAGTTTTATAATGATAGACACCCATCCACACCTACCATCTTTTTAATTCTCATCATTAAAGGTTTTGGTTCATCAATATAAGAATGACATGATTTAATATATTGGTCCGTCTAGACGATGTTTGATATATTAAATTCGATACAATTCAATAAGACTAAAAAATATGCACGTAAACGAAATATCATTGCTACAATTTAGTCTTTCTTAGGACTCACACCCTGAATTGAATTGTTCAAATTTTTTAAATAGATCGAATTTTTGAATTTAATTCTAGTAATGTGTTGTGCAAAAGGCCGATTAGTTATTATCCGTAACTAAAATAGTTGAGTTCGTATCACGAATTACTATTAATCTTATGATGAATTCTCCATGGTTCAAATTCTTTAAACAAGTCCATTTCACAATGCTTGTAAGTTGATAAGTGAGATGCAAACAAAAGGTATATAGATCATTGAAGGACCATTATAAGAAATTGGGACCATAGATCAGAACAACCAACCAAGTCAATCTCTAATGGTTGGTGATATCTTAACTCCAACCAAAAAAATCCGATTAAAACTTTATCGGCTACTAAATTCATGCTCGAATATGCAAAATAGGTACAATTGTGTTTATCTTTTTGAAATTTGAAACAACTTAGGTTGAACATAAAGAACGTGAATTTAATACAGAACCATGCTTGCTTGTAAAGTTTTTTTATATATAATTTTTTGATAGATGCTGAGATGACATGTACCTCAGTTCTTGATTTAAATTTCATAAATTCAAATCAAGAGTTGGGTGCATGCCAACTCAACATCTGTCAAATTTTCTATCAAAATATTTCTGTAAAAGTAGTTTAATTCGTTATAATATGGATGCCCTACTCGTGCTAGAGAAATTTAAGGAAAAAAAGGAATAGTTGTTAATATAATTGTCTTGGTTGCCTAGGATTCCAATTGTGATGGTTCACGAGGTGAAAATGACAAAAGGGGTGGGCAACTATCATGTAATTATAATTTAAAAAGGGAAAATTGCAGCAGAGGTCCCCATACTTTAATATTCATTGCCTCTTGCTCCCCAATCTTTCGTTTTTAGCACCTATGCCCCACTAAAAAATTGTATTTTCATATTTGTCTTTAATTACAAGATAGAAAGTCAGTGAAAGGAAGATATTACCCCTAATTTGAAAAAAAAAAAAAAAAACCAAAACCAAAACAAGAATGAATAATAAAAATCTGTCCAAAGAATTATAACTATCGTCCATCTCTTTTATGTGGGCTTGGGGAAGAAGAATAATAAGATGGGAAAATTTGTATTTTTAATAAAATTTTAGCTCGTTAAATAAATATAAGGGTAATTATATTTACACTGCAATTTTTATTAATTTAGCTTGTTACATTAGAATAACGCGAATAAATATACCAACGTTCACCTCATTTTAGCATTTATGTTCATAACTTAACTTTTCTTTTTTGCCGTATTCTTATCTTTAACTTCAATTAACATATCTTGTCTCTTATAACAGTTTTTGTTCAAATATGCTGTTTGAATGGGAAAAAAATGGTCGAATTTTTTTTATTTATGCTTTATATCTTGCTTATTCTAAAAAGACGAGGAGAAATAAATATTTTTACTCCCTTCTAATGGTTTTTTTTGGATGTCATCGAGGACAAAATGTCATGATAAAAAGTAGAAAGTCGAAGAAAAAAATACAACAAATAAAAGTTGGGAATATAAGTGCAAAAATAAGCAAAACTTGGGAACGTTCATTATAATTAAGATGTGGTGCAGTTAACAAAAATTATATTTTTACAGATCGGAATTCAGTTATGTTTTTATTAATTTATTATATGAGATTGAATAGTAAAATAAATATATATTTTTAACTTTTTTCTCTTCAATTTTGTTAATGTTATACAATTTATTTTATCAAAGATACCACTCAAGTGAAATATAAGTTGATCGTGAAAATTTCTCAAATTATCATTACTTATTATTTATTACTACTAATTAAAGTTGTGGTGGAGATCATGATGTTGATTCTTTATCAAGCATCAACTTTATATGTATATTCTAAAATATTTTACATGATCGAAATAAGGTATATTGCGTTAAGATAACTTTAATCAAATTTAGGTTTGTTATCGTTATTATTCTCTACTTTTTACTGCAATTATTGTTACTTTAGGTATATTATTTTTGTTTATTTATTTTTTTCTTTCTTCTAACATGTTGTGAGATGTTGTTATCAATAGTAACAAATGACACGAGGCTCGAGCCATATTCCCACCAAGATTTGGTCATATCAACATCAAATGAGACAAGATAATGTGATCATGTTGCCCCCACCAACCCCACAAAATATATTTTTCTTCTATCTAATAACTAATAAATAATTTATTGATCGAAACAAATTGAATTTAAGCGAGATTTAAATCAAAATGTCCATGATATAGTAAGAACATAATACATTGAAATTAAGTTTAACGATTCTTTGACATTCAAGTGCTCCTCTCCTTCCTTGTGAGATTGTCCCTAGCGTTCTTCGATTAGCAAATGATTTGCTATTGTAACGGTAAACACGTCACCTTTTCCATGTAAAAAGAGTTACAAACTCTTTTCTTAGGGGTCATATAGTTGATTGTGTACCCAAATTATCTTTCATTTGAGATCTTTAGGTGACATATGCTAGAATACTTTTAACATTAATATATGAGCTATAACTTATAAGCAACCCTAATGTTACCTTTGCATGTCTCCAAATGCACATGATTAATATTCTTTGATGATCATAAACAAATACAAAAACACAAGAATATGACAATATATTAATGCCCCGTTTATTTCAAATTAAAATCAAATTTTAATTTAAGTCAAAGTCAAACAATCAATATTAACCATATCTTTTATGAATCCCATAACTTTTCAACCACACATTTCAAAAACTTATATCACAATTTATTAAAAATCTAATTTTAATCCCCACCAAATACCCCCTAAGTGTCTATTTGATGGTCATTATTTTGAAAAAAAAAAATAGAGTTTTGAACAGTATTTTTTATGAGGTTAAAAAGTAGAAAAAGTTTTAGACTTACATGCAAAATATTTTATTATATAAATGTATGATCGAAAATGAGTATGAGAATAAAAAAAAATTATTTTGAAGGAAATAAATAGGGCTAAGACTAGTCAACTACCCACACCCAATGAAATATTTATATAAATGGGATGGAGTAGGGTGGGGGTAAGTTTTATTTTTAAATTCTCTAAGTATTTTTGTCTCTCTCTTTGGATTCTGATTTAAACAAAAAGAATCTCCACGACCAATTCTATTAGGAGTCGAGTTTGATTAAATTTTAAAACCGAGGAAGCTTGTATGAGGTATGTTGAAGTGTCAAAATAATGAGATCGATTTGAACTAGTCTATCTTCGTCTACGTCCAATATGAACTGAAGTATCACATGTAAATTGTAATTCGAGTGAAGCTCGAATTCTTTTAAAATTAAGGATCAAACCAACCTAGTTTGACCAAATCAGTTTCAGTTTAATTATTTAGGACACTAGATTGTCCGACCTGTTTCGACAATACTTGTACATATCAGCAAATTACTCGTTTATAGTATTAATGAAGTTGTTTCTACTTTCTACACACTACCGGCAGATATTTTGGACATACATATTTGACTGTATTAAGTTGTTCCACAAAAAATTTAAAAATAAAAGTAGAGAGAATTAATTAAAGTCTAGAAACGTTTTAATTTGTGATATACCTCATACCTATTGGAAATCGTAGAAAATTCTCTTATTTGAAACATTTTGTGTGAAAACCCCCTATTGTTAAATTTACCGCTAAAAACAATAAAAATGCCAAAATTAAAAGGTAATAATTGCAATTTTAGTATCTAAATTTTTTATTCTTTTATAAATTATATCCATTTTTTATGTACCATCAACAATTCCAAGCCTTTAAAACTTTATTTTGAACCCCACCCCACTTTATCTTTTTCCAAAAACTTTATTATTTTATTTAATCATTTCTAAAACACTCCTAAATCTTTCATCCCAAATTCATCATTTTTTCTTTTCATTCCCAAGATAGGTCCTCACACACGCGCAACGATGCTTCACCCAAAGCAGGTGGGCAGTTGAATTAATCGAAAGCAAAAACAATGTAATCCGCTTTAAGAGCTGTCGCAACTGCTACCTCATGGCGGAGACGAGCTATTTCTTCTCGACATGACCGGAAAAAAGGTTCTACAAATTATTCCGGAAACAAAAATGAACACTTCAATTGAATGGGAGCGTGTAAAAGAAGATGAAAAATGCTAGTTGTACAGTCTTTTTTTACAGTCAATTACACAGCCCCCTCACATGAGGTGAGCCCCACAAAATCCATGTGAGGAGGTTGTGTAATTGACTGTAAAAAAATACTGTAAATGTAGCCTAATTGAAAGGAAAAAAGGTTCCATTTTTCTTATCAACACATTTCCACCATTGATTAATCGAATCAAACAACCAAATCAAGAAATGGAAAACTTTAAATACAAAAAATTATCAAATCAAATCGGCAAAGAACAAATTGCAAACTCCAAACCCACCACACAAAATCCAATTTTCAATAGTTTCATTGCCCCCACGGCTCTCCGTCGATGCTGTCCACAGAATTATTCTTCTCTTCTAAATATCCAAATTCAAACACTGCCAGATTAGTATGTTTTTGACTAACTGATTAACCCCACAAAAAAATCTAATTACATTCGCAATTAAATGACATCCACTGAATTCGGATTATATAGAGCTATAGTCTATGCCCAAGAGTTTTAAAATTTGACGGTGGCATCTGGCATGGCGATTGGCGACGTCGTGTTACTGTTATTACAATTACAGCAATAGTTATAATTGCACATGCAACTTCAGCATGAATCGGGTTGGTGTAACCAGGGTGTTTTTACATCAGCTCAGCTGTATCAAAATTTCCGGGTTCGGGTCCGGATGCGAGTTTGTGTTGCCGAAGAAGAAGAGTAAATGGTTGGGACGGCGTCGTTTGAAGCTTGTTGCCAGTGCTGAACTGTCCAACTCCTTATCTGTGAACATTGGTTTGGACTCTACGGTCAGTTTTATTATTTGTTTGTTTTTAATGTTTTTTTAGAAGAAGTATAGATGTAAATATAAATATTTAGAGTTACGTAGTTGGTTTATGAATTATAATTTTAATGTTTGGGTTTTGATTCAAAGATATTAAATGGTCAAATTATTACATAAAGACATGTTCTTGATGTAACTAAATAGTAAATACTAAAGATTTATATGTAAAATAATAGTAGGAATATTGTGCCACTTTGATGTTCTTGATTTGATCTTGTTGTGATGCTAGTAATTTCTTGTGTGTCTAGTTGTTTTTCGATTGTAGAGTGTATAGATCTTTAATGGCTGTTCAAAAATGGAGGACATTAGTTTGATTATCTATGCCGTAAACTGACTTTTTCTGCACAAATTTGAAAATTGTTCATTACCATGATTTCTCACAGTTGCCTTTGGTTGGACCACTTCCTGGGGATATTGCAGAGGTCGAAGCCTACTGTAGAATCTTTAGGGCTGCTGAACAGTTTCATAATGCTTTAATGGACACATTATGCAATCCTGTGACGGGGGAGTGCAGTGTTTCTTACGACATGTCATCAGAGGACAAGCCATTATTGGAAGATAAAATAGTTTCCGTCCTGGGTTGCATGGTTTGTCTGCTAAATAAAGGAAGAGATGATGTCCTCTCAGGACGATCTTCCATCATGAATTTATACCGGGATGTGCAGAAAAAGGTAATGGATGATAACCTTCCTCCACTTGCTATTTTTAGGGGCGAGATGAAAAGTTATTGCGAGAGTTTGCATGTTGCTCTTGAGAATTATTTGACACCAGATGATGCTCGAAGTGTAAATGTCTGGAGGAAGTTGCAAAGACTGAAAAATGTGTGTTACGATTCTGGATTTCCCCGAGGTGACAATCAACCTTGTCAGACATTGTTTGCAAACTGGGGTCCTGTATACTTGTCCACCTCAAAAGAAGAAATGCAGTTGGGAAATTTAGAGGTTGCTTTTTGGAAAGGTAGCCAGGTGACTGAAGAAGGTTTGAAGTGGTTGTTGGGGAAAGGAATCAAAACAATTGTGGATCTCCGAGCAGAGACTGTAAAGGACAATTTCTACAAAATGGTATTAGATGAAGCTATTTTGTCTGGAAAGATTGAGCTGATTAAACTTCCCGTAGAAGTTGGTACTTCACCTTCAATGGAGCAGGTTGAGAAGTTTGCCGCTTTGGTGTCAGATTCGAGCAAAACCCCCATTTTTCTACATAGTAAGGAAGGAAGGCAAAGAACCTCTGCTGTGGTGTCTAGATGGAGACAATACATGGATCGTGCCACATCTCAGTTTGTCTCTAATCAGAGAGTTGGTCCCACTGACATTCTAGATCAAAATACCAAAAAAATAGAAGAGACAGACGTCTTTTCAAAATTTAAAGAAGATACATCCTCCAGGGATGAAAATGGGTCAATCTCAAAGAAATCTGATGAGTCTTCTAGATCCCAAGGAGGACTTCTTAATCAAGCCCCTCCAGCTGCAGAAACCCAATCACGGAGCAGTAATGGAGCTTATATTACCAAAACAACTAACCAGGATACCCCATTACTGAAATATAATGGTGAAAAAGAATCAGTAATGAACTTTTACAGCGATTTGAAACCACTAGAGTCTCAGCTACCCCCTCCGGATGTTTTCTCCAGAAAGGAAATGAACAAGTTTTTCAGGAATACGAAAATTTCACCTGGAACGTATTTTAGATATGAACACAGAAGATTGGAGATGCTGTCTGCTTCAAGATATAACTGCAATAAGACAGTCTTGAGAGAAGAAACTACCACTAATTCCAGGTTTGAAGAAGAAGATATTGTGAACAGATCAATTAATGGTAACATGTCATCTTCAAAGCCCCAGAGTACCCCTGCTAGTGATGGGCCATATCAGAGTCATAATGCTTTTGTCGCCCGGACACCTCTTCCCAATGTAACCATTAGTGGCAAAGAGTATTCTTCAAGTGAGAAAGATGGTTCTGTAAGTACAAGCATCGAGATAAATAAGAATGCCGAGTCAACGATGGTTACTCGAAAGAATAGGAGCAACAGTGAGTACTTATCTTCGGATGATGAAAGCTTGGAAACCATCGAAGGAAATATGTGTGCTTCTGCAACAGGTGTTGTGAGAGTGCAGTCAAGAAAGAAAGCCGAGATGTTCTTAGTCCGAACAGATGGGTTTTCTTGCTCTAGAGAAAAGGTAACAGAATCTTCCTTGGCATTCACTCATCCGAGCACGCAGCAGCAGATGCTTTTGTGGAAATCTACACCGAAAACTGCATTATTATTGAAGAAGCTGGGACAAGAACTCATGGAAGAAGCTAAAGAGGTACAGTGTCCGGTTAATGTCTCTGATGAATGTTGGAGCATCCTATATGATTGGAACATTGCTAAAGTTTAAATATTACAAATGGTTTAGTTTGTTCTTATATTACTCTTCACATTTGTAGATAAGAAGCAAGTTGAAGATAATAAGTATTGATTACAAAATGAATGAAAGGAATTGAATGATCAACATAGTATTGTAAGCTTGTCGAGAGTGAAATTAGGACCTGACTTGTCTGCCACTGGTAATGGATTTAGGAATAGAGCACATAAGTTGTGTTGCTCAGACGCTTCAACTAGGGTAACGTGTCCTTGTTCGACTTGTCTTGACACTCTACCATAGTCATTTTTCTTTCTTTGGTTACACTAATATATAGCTTTAACTCAAAGTTGGGCAGATTTGCATGGGTCATGTGGGGTCAATTGAACCCACATACACAGTAAATCTGCAAATGTTCAAGAAGAATGGGCCAAGGATTAATTTGACTCAATATAGACTTAACGTGCCAAGCTAGAAAAGAATAGAGATAGAATGAATGTTTACTTTATGAAAACTATACCAATTTGCTTACGTTTACATGGGATAAGCTGTTAATTTCTGAAAAATCTATACACTACCTCAGTAAATATATATATTTTTATCAACATTCCAGCTTTTCTCGCGCCTTGAATCCCATTTTTCTCGAAGACCTATGTTTTCCGTTTTTATGAAATTGTTGTTATCTATTGTCATTCAACGGAATATTAGGTCTTTGACATTTTCCTATTGAAATTGATTATGTTTTTACGATTGAAACTATTATTTGGAAAATTTTATGTCAAATAATCACGGAAAATATTTTAAACGAAAATCTCCATTTTTGAGCGAAGAGCAAAATATTTGTGAAACGAGTGTTAAGAGAAAAAGATGTTGAAAAAAACTTATTTTTGATTCCACAATGAAGAATGTTTGGCTCCGCCACTGCTCAAAGTTACTATAATATAACAAATAGATAATCTATTTAAAAGATTTCAACAAGAAAAAATAATAGGAACTATAAAACAAAAGTTATGCTATATAACAAGAATATTTTAAATAATTTAATCAACGTGCCTGCGATGTTTCCACGTCTGTGTTTTTTTTTTTTTTTTTTAAAAATCACATGTCAGCCTGTTGATGTCAGTGCACCATAGTATATAAGGTAAGGGTGGGTAAACGATGCGAAACTGCACGTATACTTGAGATTTATATATTTATAATTCGTGAGGTCGGGGAATGCTAATGTAATATTGGACGGCAGTACACAACGCCAAATTTCTGACTTATACACGCCTAGAAATTATCTAGGAAAGGGAAATCCAGTTATTAATATCTTATTTTGTAATGGCATTGGACTTTTATAAACATCTGTGTGCTGTTTCACATTTTTGTTCACGATACAGCAATTTTACTCACTTTGATTCCATTTTACTGCACTTTATTTAATCTGCATCAAATAACTATGTGCTTATTCTGTTTCATAAAACCACTACTACTTGAAGCTTCTTCTGTTCTAACTAAAGATTTAGCCCAAAGTGTAGAGTCTGCGTATAACTCTTTCCGCCTCTCGCAACCAGCTTGAGGAAGTGATAACTAAATGCAAGACATTGACATTATTTTGACTACAGTATTTCCTCTTCTGAATATGCTAGTTTTCATGAATTTATTATTGACAAATAAGAACATTGAAGTCCTTTGATTTCAAACATATATTCTTCTTATGTTCTTATTTTGGAATTGGAATTGGAATTATTTTTTAGTTTGAGGAACTAATTCTTCAGAGAATATTATGATTGCTGTGCTTTTTCTGGTACTGCCTAACTGTCCATCTTTTGTCTTAGCCCATTGAACAGTTTTTTCTGTGCATGCTTCAGGTTGCCTCTTTCTTATATTACCAAGAGAATATGAATGTTCTTGTCGAACCCGAGGTTCATGACATATTTGCCAGAATTCCGGGGTTTGGATTTGTTCAAACCTTTTATAGTCAAGATACAAGGTTCAGAACCTTCTCTCTTCCTTTATTTTATTTTATTTTGTAGTGCTAATACTCTGATCTCCCCTATGTCTTCTAATGCAGTGACCTTCATGAGAGGGTTGATTTTGTGGCTTGCTTGGGAGGAGATGGAGTCATACTCCATGCTTCGAATTTATTTAGAGACGCAGTTCCTCCTGTTGTTTCATTTAATCTTGGATCCCTCGGATTTCTCACGTCCCATATTGTATGTCTCTTTACTGAATCCTTTTGTTAAACTCTGTCTAGCTTATAAAATCTATTTCTTCTTTACTCATGTCTTCTGCTTTATACAGTTTCAAGATTATAAGAATGACCTGAGACAAGTTATACATGGGAACAACACAATTGATGGTGTATATATAACTCTTAGACTGCGTCTCCGTTGTGAAATAATTCGAAATGGGAAAGCAGTGCCGGGGAAGGTATTTGATGTCCTCAACGAAGTTATAGTTGACCGTGGTTCCAATCCTTACCTTTCCAAAATTGAATGCTATGAACATGATCGCCTCATAACAAAGGTACAGTAACCTAGTAAATACTTTTGAATTGAGAACTCTTAACTATATTGTAACGCTATAGGGAATATGTACATTATCATTGCTTTGCTTCTGTTAAAATATTATTTATAGACATTTGATTGCAAGACAAAAGATCTAAGGGAAAAGAGTACTTTCTTATGGTTTGTGCATGACAGTTCCAATCATTCTTTTGATAGGTACAAGGTGATGGAGTTATAGTAGCCACTCCTACTGGAAGTACAGCTTATTCAACTGCTGCCGGAGGGTCTATGGTAAGCTGGCACGAGTCCAAAAATTAAATGTACATTATCTTGCTTGAAAATTATATCTAAATTTAGTTGCTGTACAAGCTGGATTGACAGACATGGAAACTTTCGTGATGCTTGAGGCTTTTATTTAAATTTAACTGCATTATGAAAGATATGCAACAACAATAACAAAGAACAGACTATGCCATATTTCTATTGCATGATAATAGATACGCAAATTTAGAATATGAAGGACTTCTGCACGAGGACAATCTTCTGAAAAAAATTGTTCATGCGAAGTTTCACAGGGCTGGTTAGATTATTACTATTTGGTTCAGGATAAAATGCAATTCAATAGGTTTTTTTTTAAAGAAGTTGGCAGGTATGCCAAATTTAACAATGTGATTGTGAGAGAAGAAATGCCAGCAGGACAAGTTAAAACTTCTTTTTACTGGTTTCAACAAAATCAGTTATTTTCTCTCCCGAGTCCGAGGGGATATGTGGCTGCTACATTGACTTCTGGTAGAAATAATTGGATCTTTTGTATTAGTTTGTTTTAGGTTGCTACTTGAACTTTCAATGACATCTTATTTTGGTCATTAAACTTCAACTTGTCTCAAAGGGGTCACCGAACTTGATATATTTTACAGTTGGGTCATTTCATCTATGTCCATTAGTTTGATTAACTGAAATGTGGACGTGACAGTTTAGCAGGTAAAACATGCTGCTGATGAGGACCTAATCAGCAGAAATTTGAAAATGAAAGCTTTAAATTCAATGAAATTAATTATAAAAAAAATATATTAAAAAAAGGGAAAAATTAAAATAATTTAAAAGAATAAAGGAAAGGTCCCTGAAAAATTAAAATAGAAACATCTACTGAGTACTTAGTTTTATGCACGTATCGACACACATTTAGAAATCCATGCCTGTTATTCGTAGTTGATGCTGCTACTTTGTTTTATAATTATGGATTGTTTAGCGTTCAGAATTATGCAATGGGATAACGCTTTCCTGAGATGAGATGAGTTTGAGAATTATGAAATGGTACGCTAGTGTTTACCAGTGGCTATTCCCAAATGCAGGTACATCCAAACGTTCCTTGCATGCTCTTTACACCGATTTGCCCACATTCTCTCTCATTCAGACCTGTCATACTTCCTGATTCTGCACGGCTAGAATTAAAGGTATGCTTTTCTTCGTGCAGTTTTGCAGTATGTGTAATGTTAATTACTGGATTGTCTTAGTTTTTGACATTTTATGTCACTTAACGTAGAGACTATCACATACTACTTGAGGAATATCCCATTAGTGGCTGTAATTCTACCATTCTTCCCTCTACCTTTCTTATTGTTGGGACTTTTTGTTAATATCTGTCTACTCCCATGACTTGTCCGTCATATTATCTTGGGTGCTAGAGGCTCTAAAACCTTAATATTTTTCATTCTTGCTTTTGGGGTATGTAGATTCCAGAGGATGCACGAAGTAATGCTTGGGTCTCGTTTGATGGAAAGAGAAGGCAACAACTTTCTAGAGGCGATTCAGTTCGTATATCAATGAGTCAACATCCACTTCCAACAGTCAACAAGTCAGACCAAACAGGTGATTGGTTTCGAAGCTTGATTCGTTGCTTGAACTGGAATGAAAGATTGGATCAGAGAGCTCTTTGATTGCTGTAATTGTTACACTTTTCATCTGTCTGCAAAGATGTACTGTACAGTTCATGAGTTAGAAATTTACCGGTTGCTCGGGTCAGAAAAAGCATACAGCAAAGATTTTCCCGATGTCTTTTGTATATATGTATGTGTGTGTGTGTGTGTGACTTGTACATTTTGTATAATACTCACATAGTTATAAAATTGAAAATTTTGCAATTGTCCATTGCTGGCTCTTCTTTATGCTTTCTTATTGTTATCAGCTAAGATAGATTTCTCCGCGACAGTATGGAAGTTCACACGTTGTACATAAAATGATACTTTGTTGCAAGCTTTTCATTTATAGTTTTATTAAATTTGTATATTATATGTTAATTTGTACTGTAATTCGAAACATTTTTATAATTACTTTTAGATTACAAGCTCGGTGAAATATGTTTGAGACCCATTATTTTGCTAAAATGTATTTTGGAATAGTAATTTGATAGATAATGTGTGGTTAAAAAGTAAGATAAAATTTTGAATTTACGTGTAATATTATTTTATTGAAAAATGTGTGGTTGAAAATAAAATGAAAAAATATGCATTTTGGAAATAATGGAGACCAACAATGAAATATATAAAGTAATTTACACAAATTAATTACCTTAATACCACAACTTGAGAACTGAAATTGCGTATAAAAACAGATGCCAATAAATATCCCGTGTGACCCTATTAACATGCCAACATAGCATTTTGCTAAAAGGCACAACTTCATACCTTACACCATCCCCTACCCCACCCCACCCCATCCCAACCCAACACATTGATAATGGAAAAGGAAACATAAATGGAAACTGTATAATTACTTTATTTTCTTTACTTAGCTTTCACAGCTTGGAATCTTGGTTCTTTAGGAAGGAACTTTTGTTCAGTGTAAACAGCCATGTAATCCCCAAACACAAACTTGGGGTAAATCGGATCCACCACCTGTTTTTCAGTTTTCTCAACAAATTCTTGAGCTGGTTCTATGGTAGCCTTGAGTGATGGATTGTAGAATGAAGCAATTGATCTCCTATTCCCGTCAGCCGAAGCAAAAACCCGGTGCCAAACACTCTTGTATCTTCCATTGCTGAGGACTTCTATCTGATCCCCAGTGTTTATCACTACAGAATTTTTCATAGGCTGGACATCAATCCACTCCCCATCTTTCAGAATTTGAAGCCCTTTAACCTCGTCATCTTGAAATAGTAAGATGACGCCACCAGCGTCAGTGTGTGCCCGAAGGCCAGTTAGCTTTTCGGGGTGAGGACATGGCGGATAATGGCTCACCTTGGTGCCGAAAAAGGCAGTTTCATTTTCTCCTGCGCCGTCAAAGGCTTTCTTGATGCACCCTTTTCGTAATCCCAAGTTTTCATCCATTACTTCCATGACTTTAACAGCTAGTTTTTTCAGTTCAGCTCGGTATTCCTTCATGGTTTCCCTGGCAATATATGTAACGTGTTATATAATGAACAACAACAAGGTGTTCAGTAAATTTGGGGTCGATCATATAAAATGAAAGGTATAAATTGATGCAAATTATGCTTACTTGAATCCATGAGTCTTAGTTGGCCATTCATTTTCATTGTCATCTGAGAGAAGGAAAACATCCTCCCAATCCAAATTTTCCAATTTGTCCTCACTTTTCTTTTCCACCAATTCATTTAGAAGCTTTACGGGCTTTGAATTCTTGAAGTTCTCCTCTCTTTCCAATTTGTAGCATTCAGATGCCACCTTCTTCACCCTCTCCAGGAGCTCCTCAGGGATTCCATGGTTCACTAACTGCAAATTAATGTCACACAAAAATTACAACCTCAGATTTCAAGATGCAAAAGAAAAAAGTGTTCATATTCTTTTAAGAAAACACACGCTTTCTATGTCAGTTGATATGAGCGTAACTTATAGCTATCATCCGACTGCTTTTAGCCCTCACAGAAGGCTCGATTTGTTGAAGTTTCAATTAATAATTACCTGAAAGAATCCCCATTCTTCACAGCAGTGAGCAATCTGAGCCAAAGTTTGCGCCCTCTCCTCACCATCGAGCTTTGAGAAATCAATCACCGGAATAGCCATTAACGGAAAGTAAATGTAAAAGTACAAAAACTGTATCTTTTTTCTGCAGTGTTGTCACTGATGTGATGCTGAAGAGGTTTCCTCAAGGCTATTTATAGTGGGACAATTTCTCGATTTCCCACCAACTCCAATGTCAACCCTATACTTTTTTTTTTTTTTTGAAAAATAAAAAATTAACATAATTAAAGTTCAGCAGCCGTTAGATTGATGCAATGGACGGTGTCAGAAAGTCAATGTTGGATGAGAAAGGAACTAACATAACTGCTATCCCACAACACTGATGCACCTAATCGTCATCATTTTTTAATTAATTCACTAATATTTTTATGGCATAATTAATTCATACTCAGAAAACATTAATGCATGCATATATATTCAATAATTTTGTTGATTGTTCTTAATAGACCCCAGTTTTAAAATCTTTCATTGCTCGTAGCATGAGAAACAGTTTCACAAAAATGGAGACGAACTGAAATAACGTCCGATCTTGTTTCTTGAAACATAACATACGACATTTTAAAACTAGGTTAAATTGTATTATGTTAATTTCTTTAATGCTTGTTAGGCAAATCTCTGCCGACTTCAACTGTTCATTATGTTGACTCAAATTTTTTTATTTTATTTCACACTCTTTTGACTTTTTTAACACATGACATGCTTTTGTATGATAATTAATGAACAGATGAATAAAGTAATTAGCAGGCATAGTTTTAGGGTTAAGGAACAAGACCAGATGTACCCTAACATTTAATTAATAATATCCAGATTGTCAACAGCTCTGTGAATAAGTGTAGATAAAGATGTGTTTCAAGAAAATGATCTGTAATTAAACAAGGTCTCGTTGGCTTCTGATTCGATGCTGATTGTCAGATTATTAGGGCACACTATAACTGGTAACAGATGAAATTGATAGCCTATTCAGTAACAAAAATATAATGCTGTTCATCATTGAAGGTACAGTACCATTGGTACTTCATGAATATTATTATGTAATAATCTGAGTTGTTTAAATTGTCATCTCGACCGTGGAAAGGTTGTACCATGCCATTACTTTTTCATTGTTTGTTAAGTTTTCAAAATTATGTTAAATAGCAAAGTATGAATGGACGTTAGCATACTCGACCCCGTTGAAAAGGTTGAATCATGAAATTCTCTTTTCATCGTTTGCACTTATTTCAGATAGGTGTGGTATGAACAAGAATCGTAAACGTTCTCTTAAAATAGATATATTCTGGTATAAAATTTTCACTTCTTTCAATTTCGCTCTTGTGAGGACATGTTTTTGTTCCTTCTATGTGACTTAGGTTAATTAAAAGTACGCCTACTAAATATTACCTCGACTTCCATATTTCTCGATAAAACTACGACCCTGTAAATTAAAAAATTCCAAAGTGATAACGAGTTTACGAGGGTGAATATAGTCTTCAGTACTAGAAATACATGATATGCAATAATTAAGTAATATGGCCATTCGTAATGCATTTTATGCCACCTTGCATGACTAAAACATTGTTTAATTAAGTAGTTTTTCATCGTTGACTCATTTAATTAATTTATAACATCAATGATAAAAAAAAAAGTGATCCAGTTACGTGTAATGTTTGCCAGATGAATGAATGAGTAGTCAGCATTCACAAATAATGAAGAAAAATATTCTGAATTGAGAAAGAACCTGCATGTGAGTTGAGCTTACAAGTTTATAATTTTATTTGGTTTTATATCTCATAAGTGTATTCTTTTGAGCAACTTAATTAAAATTTGTTTTCTTGAAATTTAGGTTAAATTGGGTAGCATTCAGGCATCCAGCTGCTTATACATGTATATATATATAAATCTCTCTCTCCATTAGAAGAAGTCTTCCATTGTAAACCCACATGCTGCTGACAAATGGTGTTACTCTCAAGGCATTGATTCATATATATATATTTTTTCTTGTTGTGTTTATAGGATATATGGTCTAGGGTGTCTGTACATAGATTTAATTTCTGGTCTTTGTCAATTAATCTCGTTAAAAAATAGACAGTTTCCAATGATTATAAAAATCATTTGACAAATCATTTTAATCATAATGTGGCATTTGGACTCATAAATTTGGTTGGTTCAATTGCATCTAGCTTTGGCCAAGGACTTGATTTGTATGGTGGCTAGTCTACTTCACAATTACATAGTTGAAGTGGGATTAAGTTGTGGCAAATTAAGTAGTCAAAATTGATGATGATCCGACCATGAATGAGAGGACTTTCACAAGGCAATGAGTTTATTTGTCAATTTTGGTGTGAGTTTCCCTTTTTGTTTTTGTATTGTTTGGATGTGATGTGACGTATTTGGTGGGGATAAAGTCTTCATTGGTGAAATGATGAACCTGTTTTTGAACTCATTTGTCAATTTTGGTATGAAATTTCCTGTTTTTGCCTTGTTTAAATTTGGTGGGATGTATCTGATAGACGACAATTAATGAGAGATGAATGTAAAGAAGACGTGACGCATTTGGCAGGGTCAAGGTCTTCATTGGTGATATGATCAACCTATTTTTGAACTCATTTGTCAATTTTGGAATGGAATTTCCTGTTTTTGCTTTGTTTAAATTTGGTGGGATGTATCTGATGGACGACAATTAATGAGAGATGAGTGTAAAGAAGTTGTTAATATTTACAAATAACAAAGTGATAGTGGAAGAGAAAACTGGCGGCGTGCCGAGTGTTCATAATGCCTCTGATACAAGAAGAAAATATGAAAAGAACTTTAAAAATAATAAAAGATTTAATTATAACATTCTTGACTGGTAACCTTAGGTTATGAGCACCTAGCATACATTTATTTCTATTTATAATAAAACAAGCTCAACAACTCTCCATAACTAATGTTTATCCAAAAAATAGATAACAACTATCAAATAACAAATTTTGTTGAAACATAAATAGGATAATAAAATTTGACAATCTTATTACTCCAAAATTTTCTGGTCCCCTTATCGTTCATTTGACCCTCATCATCTATGTTGTCAAGTTGTATGACGTTTCTAAAAGTATCCACGATCGAACTAAAGACCATTTCCCAGTATTCCATGAGAATCAACAAGTTTTAAACTTGTGTGTGTATTGTGCTCCATCACTTCCCACGTGCCTCTCTTTAAATTCAGGAATTTGACTCGTTACTGAGTCAAAATCTTTATGGACGAGGGGGAGATGGCCTGCAATGCAATCCATCTCCCTAAATGAAGGACAAGTTCAAAATATACATAATAAATCACAAACTTTGTGATTTCTTGTACCGGTGGAATATCCATTTTGACTGATTTCTTGCTTTTATCTGTAGACGTGTAAATTGATCATACATTTAGCATCAACAATATAGTGAATTTAATACACAATACTGTGTAAGAATGACATTAGGATGGATAATATTTTAATTTTTTTTCCCTTAATAATATCCAATATTTTTGTGAATTTTCCTGTTATCTCATGATTTTATTGTTCATATATGAATAGTTATTCTTTTTGTTGTAATTAACTGGTAATCAATTAATTACAAAAAAAATTAATGTAGATAATTTCAATTAATTAAAATAAAATCATTTTTATTGTAAACAACCACATAATACTTGATATATTTGTATCTGTCCACAAACTTGTTTGATGGAATAAAACCTAATTTTGTGGCCAAGGGCAATTCACACCATTAAATTAGTAAATATCTTTGATTAAACCTCGTTGGCAAGAAAATCAGTAAATTTCTAAACTTGTTTTGAGTACTAAAAAGTATGACATATAACAGTAGAGAAACTAAGGGTATGTTCTCTTTACCATTTTCAAGCCTTTTTTTTTTTTCGATTTTTCAAAACAGTGAAAATGCGTTCTCTTTCCTACTTTCGAAAATGCGTTTTTGAAAATAAGTTTAAAATTTACAAAGAAAATCCAAAACGACAAATTTATTGTTTTGAATGTTTTCAATTATAATCAAGTCAAAATTTTCAAAACATGTTTTGAGTGTTTTCAAAATGCCAAAAAGAACACATTTTCAACAATCTCAAAATGAACATTCAAAACACAAAACACAAAATAAATTCAAAACTCAAAACACAAAGAGAACAGTCCCTATATTTTCTCTCAATAATTAATGTGTATCTATACTCTCGATATACTTCTCTCTGCTACTTATCAATTTTCATCTATTTTTTTGTTCAGCAAAAATTCAATATAATTTTTTTCTTTATCATTCATCTACGCATGTGTTTTCATTTTCCAAAATTATATAGTTTTATTAACTATAGTTATAAATTGATTTCTTATATGAAACTTGTAGAAAAGTAAAATTTATCCACAATAGACGCCAAGAATGTTAACTATGCATTCTAAACAATTTTTTAAGCTGCCAACTTAAAATGAATAAGAAATAATTTTTTGTTACTATATAACATCTAATATCAAAAATTAATTTAATTGATTGTTTTCTATTTTTATCTATCAAACAAATTTTGTTAATTAAATATAACAAGCCAGAATTTTTATTTGTTTTACAATATTGTAACAGTCAAATGAAGTAGTTTTTAAAATTTCCAATTTTTTTTTTTATCAATTAGATGGTAGAGCTTAGAAAAAGAAAATAGTAAATTTTATAAAATACGTTATAGGTCGGGTTTTATACTTGGAAAGCCCGCTCCACCCTCTCACTTTCATATTAAGAACGTCGACTTGTACTTGCAATGTCAAGTTTGACTTTTATTTCATCGTCAAAAGCATATTATTTCAGTTAAGATTATGTTTGTCTATTTATAATAGCATATTTATAAATTTTTTAGCAAAGGGTGCTTTAAAATGTAGAATGCAACACAGTCTGTTCTGTAAATTTTCCTTTAATCAGCTAGTTGTGGTGAATAATCTTTTGATGTTTCTCTCACTAGTCTCTGTCCTAAATTAAATAAAAATATATATGCAAATGATTTGACAAAGCATAAAAGAAATATATTAAAAGCAAGGGATATACAGTTGCTTCATAGCATATTGCTAAAAGCATAATTATACCCTATTAAACTTCTCTACACACTGCAGCTGAATATAATGGCATGCAAAT